TGGATGGTTACTGTGCTTGTTCTCTTCAGTGTTTACTTCTCTTGAGGTTATTTTCTCATGTTGGGCAGATGGAGATTTTTTTTTAAATTTTTATCTCTTGTCATGTTTCTGGTTTCTTTCAGACTGGAGTGTCCTGGGGGTCTCTGGCCCTCTCCGTATTGCTTAGGGCCTTTCAGAAGCGTGCTGACTTAAGTTTTTGCTGTCCTGCCCAATTTGCTGTTATCTGGGGTAGGCAGGGATGCAGGGACGGTGCAGGTTAGCCTCCAGCCTCTGTGCCAGTCAATCCATAAATTGGGCTGTACTTTCTGGATGTCACAGAGTTGCAACTATTTTGTATCTGCTTATTGGGCCCCACGCAGAGGCTTGGTTCAGCCCCAGCAGATCCTGCCAGTTCTCTCTGTGCCAGAAGCAGCTGACTAATGTCACCGTGGCACAGGGTTCTGCCCAAATCCCAGCTGTTCTCTTCCAGACCTCTCTGTGCCAGGAGCACCAGGACAGTGGGTCTGCCCAATTCCAAGATGTCTTCCACTAGTTCTCTGTATGACGCTGAAGCCAACACGGTGTCAGGCTCTGCCCAATTTCAAGATGTCCTCCACCAGACCTCTCTACAGGGGCGACTCCGTGATGTCACCGAGCCACAGGTTCTGCCCAACTCTAAGATGTCTTCCACCAGACTCTCTGTTATTGATGTCCCTGTGGTGGCGGGCTCTGCCCAGTTCCAAGATGTTCTCTGGCCAACCCCAGTAGTCGTGGGACCCAGTTCCCAGTACTCACCAGGGCTCGGTGCAGGTCTTCCTCTTGAGTCTATTGCACACCACGCCGCTTGCCCTCACTGTGCTCCCGGCACAGCATGGAATGGTCAGAAAACTGCATAGCTTTCGGCTTCGGAGCTCCAGAGCCTTTCACAATCTCCTCTGGTGCAGCGGGGCAGTCCTGACTGCTTCGCGGGGTCCTGGGTCTCAATATCTAGCAGTCACCAAAAGCCAATACAGCTTTTCCTGTTGGGTCCACTGGTCAGTTTACCGCATTAAACACGCGCGATTTGCAGACTCCCGTTATCAGCCTCCACAGTCTCAGCATGACTTTAAATCCTCCAGCCACGCTGTCTTGGTTAATAAGAATCATCATCCATTCATCTGGCCCTCTTCATGTTGTCATATTCTAGCATCTAATACGATTTTTCCGGAGAGACTCTCTGCCCAATCCCCTAGCACGCCGCCATTTTAGGATCTCTCGTCAACTCTTCTAACTTCTTCCTTCAGTTTATGACTTCATTCTTTAATGTTGTGGGACCAGCAATTCAACACATTTAACATCTGACAGGTTGGGAGTTATAGTTCTCCTATATTAAATCTAGAAATTTCTCTAAGATCTGTTCCCTCCTTAATATCACCACTGTCTGATTTAAAGCCCTCTTCATTTCTCACCTAGACTACTTTAACAATTTCTTACTCTATTTTCATAGTCCTTCCCTTATTTTATCTCCATTCTGCCACCAAATTCTCTCTCTAAAATCACAATTTAATTATGTCACTCTCCAAAGTTTGTAAGCTAAGACCTCCCAATCACGGACCCTGCAGATGAAGCTCTCCACCTTCTGACTGAACTCTATGCGCAGCCTCAGACCCTGCCCTCTCCTTGGTGTCTCCTGCTCCAGCACTTGCCTAGGATATCCTGAGACGTTTCAAGCATGGGTTTTGAGCCTTGTTTTGGCTCTTGGACCTGGAGTAGGATAAGTAAAAAAGAAAGTAGGTAGAAAGGAGACATGGAAATTGAGATTTAAAAATTATACCTCAAGAAGAACAAAAAGCTATAGCTTTTTTTTTTGTCTTTTTCATTTTTATTGTACCAGGGATTGAACTCACGACTGCCTGCTTGCAAGGCAGGTGCTTATGCCGCTGAGCTAAATCCCCAGCCCCAAAACTATAGCTTTTAAGATAGATCTTTTCCAGAGACTCAGTCAAAAAAGAAAATTCTTAAAGGTTCTTTTACAATAGCCTGAAAATTAGGGCTCTGGATCTGTGCTTTTCACCTGTAAATTTTCCTTCCTCCAATGTAGGAAGCAGCCACACTGCTGATGAGCAACAACAATCAATTGAGGAATGGATAAAAAACATGTTCTATAATGGAGTACTACTCAGGACAAACTTATAGATGAATGGATGCAGCTAGAGATCGTACTCAGTGAAATAAATCACATGTGCACACACAAGCATCATCTTGTCTTCTTAGTGTAAGAAACCAAAACAATAAGTAATATGTGAAATCTGCAGTAGATATTGAGAAATGGAGAGAAACTGCTCACAAGGAAAAGCAGCTGGGATGAAGGAAAGGAGAAATGAAGAAAGAGAATACACACACACACACACACACACACACACACACACACACACAGATACAAGATAGCTAACATCATACTACTAATCTCTTTTAGTTCACTTAAGGCACTTATATTGGTTCACTTAAGGTTGCTTATATTGTTTGACTAATTTTGCATGCCAATATTTTGTAATCTGAGCAACTACTTGAAAACAGTAATATGCAATATATTAACCATTGTTTATTTATTATCTTGTTTCGAAATTACATTATTGTTTTTATTTTCGTTTGCTTTTCTTTCTTAAAAAAAATTACTGTGTCCAAATAAATCCTTCTCCTGTCACTTTTACTGGCATGTTCTGAAAATTCTTTCTTTATGCAACAAAGAATTAACAAACCTACAAAGTTATTTAGGGTGAGATAAGTTTTTTACTGACTCAACCCAGTGACAGATCCCTTGCTTAGAAGCCTACGTTTTCCTTTCTTGATGACAGCCTGTATTCCTCTCAGAATATTCCTAAAAAATGTTCTTATAGAAGCCTTCTGGAACCCCTAAGAAAGTTACGTTACTCTTGCTACTCTTAGAGAATTCTGAGTTTTGGTAATTTAACATTGAGAGTTTTGCTTGTTGTAGCTTTTTGAGAGAAACAAATTAAAATAAAATGGATTTCGGTTATTTGTTTAAATAAAAGTTACAATAGTCAGTTTGCTAATTTTTTTATTCAATAGTGCGAAATAATAGCTATACATGAGCAAATAAAGAACAAATAAAATGAAAAACAAAAGCAAATGAGACAGAGAAACACAGCAGAGAACAACTAAAGAAAATTCAAGTTCTTTGGCACTTGAATATGGAGAGCCGAGAAAATTACTCCCCTGCTTACTCACTCAATATCAGAGTGGGGCTTGGGGCTAGCACTCTAGGACCATTCCTCCCTAATTGCTCCTTTCTCCCAATTGAGCTTAGGCAGCACCCTATGAACATTTTATGTAAACCCAGGACAAAGCACACACAACCCCTTTTTGTCTGTCTGGCTGTCTGTCTGAGATATGGTCTTGCTATGTAGTTCAGCCAGACTTTGAATTTACTTGGTAGTCCAGGTGGGCCTCAAACTCCCAGCAGTCCTCCTGTCTCAGCCTCCCAAGTGTTGGGATTAAAGGTGTGTGTTACCATGCCCAATCCTCTCTTGCTCTTAAACCTGAAAGTCTGATTTGTCTGTACAGTGTGCAGTATCCTTCTCAGTCATCCTAGCACCATTTCTCTGCTCATGACCTTCAATGACGTAGCTGCTTCTGCTTCACCCCTGGGTATATACTTTGTAGTTCTTTGCTATACACAGAGCTTGGCATCTACTTGTTGGATCCACCACAAAGTGACCCAGGATAGCCTGGAAACTGCCAGGAAACACACTGCCTTACAGAGCAATAGCACCCCTACTGCAGGAAGGACACAGCCAGTAAGGAGAAAGCCCTCTGGAGACACAGATGATGAAGCCAGTACACTGAGAATACCTGCCAGCATCAAACATGCTTTCATGGAGCCTATGTCTCTATTTTCTGGTATTTCACTTCTCAAGAGGGGAGAGACAATTCCAGATGGAAAAAGGGCCGCAAATGTAAAGGAAATAATGTAGAGAGGAAAATTAACACAAATTGGTACAGCATTTCTAAGATATACTATGGGACCAACTTCCTCCTACATATCAACTGAAAATACAGAATCTCTCTGTTGGTTTGAACACTGAATATTTTTTAAATTCATGGGAGAAGTAAGGATTTTTATTGGAGCTGATTGGTATTCCTAAGCACACAGCTATAATCACAACTGTCATCACTGCGACTGTTGGGGCACAATTATAATAAAAGAATACATTTATAAAATAGCAAACGTATGTATTTCATGATACAAATTAGAGATTCTGAACAAGTTGCTGCTGAACTCAACTGACTTTGACAGTGTCTAAAGCCCAGCTGCATACTTCTGATATGCACTGAGTCAGAGTAACTGTCTACACCTCAAGGCACCCTGGGCTAGTCAAGGCCACCTTTAACTATGCTCACCCTATAACCCCCCTCCCCCGTTCCCAGCATGTTTCTATTTTATGATAAATAATTCCTTTGTTGCAACAAATCTGTTCAAGACCAGTCTGCCTGTCAATATATGACTCAATGCATGTAACCAATTAAGTAGTTTTATCACTTGTTTTGTGCTTCCCACTTCTAAATGCTATATAAACTAAGCTCTCTGTAAACTCAGGGTTGTTGCCTTTGAGAATGATCCCACGACAGTCTGCTGGTGTAAACATTAAATGGCTGCCTTTTTATCTCCTCAGTGAGAAGTCTTCCTTTTTGTTTGATTTGGGAATTTTCCTGCAAAAAGATTACATATGCCTGGGGAGGAAGAGAGAATGCTGCCTCTTACTATCAGTAGTTTCAAACTAAGAATGCTTTATGCAGTGGTCAAAATGGTGTTCCGCAAAGTCCATATAGGCTGAGCATGGTGGGTACACCTGTAATCTCAATACTTAGAAGCCAAGGTAGGAGGATCACAGGCAGCCTGAGCTACCCAGTACGATCAAAACAGGCCTGAACTACACTGTGAGACCTTCTCTTTAAACAGCCCAAAACAACAACAACAACAAAAACAATAACAATAACAACATTTAAATGTCATCTGATACCTTTTCTTCATTTGCTGCCATCAAAGATTCCACAGCCTTTTTCATTTTTTGTACTTCAATATCTGAAAATAATATACCAAATCAGAAATCAATTTAGTTAATGTGGATAAGATACTCTTCCTGCAATGGCTTAAGGTAAAATGTTAATCATCTGTTTTGAATGGTTTTTAAAAGGGGCACATTTAGTACTCCTACACTCTTTAGACTATCCAAAAGATAAACACCTCTTAACTCATCCAAATAGTTGTCATCTAAGAAAAACAGTAGGAGCTAACTATCCTCCCCCTCACAGCAACATTGTCTTCACAACACTGAAGATGGAACTTGGGTGCTGTAAACATAAAAAGCACAGTTTTTTTTTTAAATAGAAAGAAATTATAAAACAGTAAGTGGAGAGTAATGAATGGTACACATAATGACCAGAGCAGAGAGAATGATACACAGTTATAACCAAGACACAGACACGTGTGGGAAGAGCCTAATGCAGCATGGTGTTCACATAGTAGTCATGCTCAGAAGCCGTTCCACAGAAAAGGGTAAGTACTTTGCTTCATCTATAAACTTCATTTCCATACTAGTTTAAAACATTTCAAGACATAAAGGCTGAGAATAAAGTAAGCTGAGGATGACTTTCCTTAAAATTTGACACTCAAATACAAAAAGCATGTTATTTGGATAATAAACTAAAATATTTCAAAGACAAAAAGTTCAACCAAAAGTGATATAAATTTTAAAAACTGAAATAAAAATATTCACTTACAGTTACATGCTTCAGAGAAAAACAGTAACTTTTAAAACAATGCAATTGACACTGACAACATTTTAAATTATAAATCCTTTCTTTCCTTTCTTTTGCAAGTACCTTTAACTTAGTGAGTCAGTGCTTGAAGGAAAGACTCCATTAAAGAGTTATCTTTGTGTCATAAACCTAGACTGCATGAATCAGCCTAAAAAACATTTTTTTTATTAACCCCAAGAGGATATAAAGAAATGTCTAATACAGCCAAATAATGAACTTCAAAACATGAAAAAGCAAAAGCAAAGTTCAAAAGGATCTTTCAACCGTGGTAAATCTTAAACAGTGGGTTTGCATAACACTGAAAATGCTATTTTTTCCTCTTCACTGTACCATCAGAGGAAATAGTTGTGATCTCTACCTCCATTTGCCCTGTTGTAACTGTGGACCAAGAGGGCTGAATAGGGTAGAATTTACACAATGATCTTTACCCCCTTGTCTGTCTAGCCTTTGTTTTGTACACTCTAAAGAAATGGAGGGCTTATTGATGAAGCAACTATACATTTTTGATGACAGAACTGTTTTAAAACACATGCAGTGAACAAGGTAGTACTTCTGGTGAACAAGGTGAATGTAAAGGCCGGTAGAAGTACACCAAAAACCTTACTTTTTTCTTTGAGCTTCTTTTTAAAATTTTCATCTGTGCAGAAAAATCCATTGAATTGGAAGTTAGCACACATCACAACAATAAATATTATTTCCTTTTACCTAAAATAAAAGGGACCTAACCTCACAAAAACAGAGTATGAAGCACTATTTTGTGACTTCAGGATAAACAATACTCTGTATGAGTTGAAAGAAAATGTACCATAACTGATGAGAAGACCTAAATTCATGTTACTGCCTCTAGTCATCTTTTCTTTCTTTTTTGAAGACAGGGTCTTGCTACACAACTCAGGCTGGCTCTGAACTGGCTTATGTAGCCTAGGCAGGCAATCCTCCTGCCTCCTGTCTCCCAGTGTTGGGATTACAGGAGTGCTCCCCCATGGCCAGCATCTTCATCTTTCTGAATCTTGCTTTTTTTCACATGAAAATCTAACTTACAAGCAACTGTGTCTTACATCATGTGTGACGAAAAACTAGGCAATATTTCTTTGGAAGTTTCTTATATTTCTGTCAAAGTTCAATCACTGGTTCTCTGGAATAAGACAAGCATACGGCTGTGTCCTATCCAACTCACCACTTAAGTTCAGCAACATCGAAATGGTCTATGTTCTGTTTGGTGAAATGAACCCATGAAAAAGGGAGTTAGTTATATGTGCTAATATCAGACTGTCACGAAGTCTGATCACTTGCTCGCAATCTCCTGTGTTAATCTACTTGTATACTGTAGTTGAATAGATTGGTTCCAGTCCTCAAATCAGACTGTGAGCATCACTACTCTAATAAATTCTCCTGTCCACAAGTCCTCGGATCCTATTTTACTCTTGAAACTCTATAAAGTGGGGCTGGCAGAACTTGAACTTGGCATGTGAGAGCCTAGGTTCAAGCTCTAGTACCTACTCTGAATCCCCAATCAAGCTTAAAAGTATGGCTTTAACAATATTCCATGCTCTTTAACAATATTCTACTTACGCCAATATAGGGGGAAAAATACAACTGTTTGAAAGGTTAATAAATTGAGTTTTCAGATGGATAGGGGATTGTGATACATACAAGTACATGAAGCCATGATATTCTAGAGCAAGAAACTTCAGAGGTAATTTAACTCAAATTCCTCATTATAGAGACAAAAATGTTGCTCATATGAAAATGAGCTGAAGCTATAGTAACTGAAATCTGTTTCATTTCAAATGAGCCAGAAATTGCTTTTAGTGCTACAATTGTCATTTGCAATTACAAAGACAGTTTGTATTTAACCTAGCATTGTTAGATATTACACATTTATGTTTTCAAATAGGAATTTTTGAAAAGCACATCTCTTTCAGTCAGGCATGGTGGCATATGCCTATAATCCCAGCACTTGGGGGAGGCTGAAGCAGAAGGATCATAAGGTTGAGCCTAGCCTGGGCAACTCAGTGACAGGGTGAGAACCTTTCTCAAAAGAAACAAAAGATGGAGATGTGGCTTAGTGTGAAGGCCCTGGGTTTATTCCTCAGTACCAAAAAAATTTCATTCAATTATTTTCTATTTTACATAACATATTATTAATCAGAGACAATATAATTATACTCAAAAATTCTCCCCAGTTATTTCGTAAAGTCTGGGTGAATTAATACATTTACTTAAAAACAGATTAAGCCTACATTTCTGCTCTCTAAAATGTTGATGGCGCAACCATGATAAGCAATTTTGTTGATTTTCCATTTTTTTGCAGGCAAAATTTCTAAATCCCTTACTTTATCTTGAGTTCAGTTCAGGGAAGAAATCTTGGGACATAGTAACAGGTCTTGTTTATTCCTTGATTTCTCTTTTGTAATCTGTCCAACTTGATAAAAACCCACAATTTAGCATTCTAAAATGAATTCTAATAAAATACAGAAGGGGCTTTGCCAGATATTCAAGAAGCAGCTCATGAATTCCTTCTAGCAAAATCGCTGGGACTCGCTGGCCTAAGGGCCTCTGCTACTCTTTCTTTCCTTTGGTGCTAACACTATACACTGACTGACATCAGTTTCTCTTTTAGATTTGGATGATTTTAACAAAGTAGGGCAATAAATCTTAAAGGAACATTCTCACCTTTATCAAGAATTTCAAACCCTTCTCCTTTCATCTTGCAAACCAATTTTTCTTGCAGCTTTTTTACTTCAGATTCCTTCTCTTCTAGTTGTTCTTTTAAAGATGCCAGTTCATCCTACAATTTGTGAATTAATTTTAAAATAGTAGTTTATGAGTAAAGGGAATATTTAGAGAACGTATTAACTCTTTAAATCAATAACTGGATTGTGAGAATGAAACAGAAATCTTCATGAATTTAGACATAAATATCAAAATTAGTGGCAATAAGAAAAATAGTCTAATTTATTTATAATAATTATGGCATCATTAGTTCAAGTTTGTGAGTTAACTAAAGAGAATTTTTGTAAAAAAGAATCAAGACTAGGATGGTCCTAAGATTTAGATCTTATGTTAATTTTAAAAATCTGACCAAATTAGTCAAAGAGATAACTGAATCAAAATTAATGTCAAAAAAGCAAAATAAAAAGCAGACGCAAAAAGAGTCACTTGATATTCATTCAACATTTCAAGGTGGCTCTCATGTTTGGACAAGAACTGAGATTAATCAGTGGACAAGGTACGAAATCACGGGACTAAATAATTCATCCTCATCACTTATGGACAGAATCTTCTACAGAAAAGGGGAAAAGTAAACATAAGAAGATTTTTAAGTCTTCTCACTTATTTTAAAGTATGTAATTGCAAAAGCTTGTGACTCTAGTTCTATTTGCTAATACTTTAAATTTTAGTTTCATTTTAGTAAACAACTAGCATTAGTAAATTTATATCTTGCTGGTTGTATTTCACACAGGAAACAGTATGTAATGCTGCTATGCATGCCTTTTTATTTGATGCCACATTTTATTTTCAGAGTCTCTACATATGTTTATTATGCTTAGCAAGATAAAAGATGTACCCACTAATGAAGCCTTAAACTTTAGCTTACAGTAAGAGTGGACATCAAGTATAATACATTTTTAGCAACCTTGGCATGGGTTAATCTCACTGTGCAGCAGTAATTTCTACTCAGTGTCATGATATAGTTCGTTTCTGTATATATCTACTTTTAAAGAAGTCCCAAAGGAGGAAAGTATTATTTATATGAAATAGAATTCTTTTACGAGGTAACTTCTGTAAGTATTTTACAATGCCTGGGGCTCAGACAGCCTAAGAGGATTATATTTAATTTATAAGATAATATTATCATTTTACCTTATTATTCTACTAATTATTCAAATATTTCTGAAAAGAATATTAGGGCTCTCACTGATCATTTAATCAGCATTGTGCATATTTTTCATAAACAGATGACAGACACACAAAATCAATGCACATACCACTGACAACAGCATCACAGCAAACCAACACACGCCAGAAAGCAACAGGCTGTAGAGCCCATCATTCCAAGTCTACTACACCTTCAGTGACTCCCATTTTTGTTCCATCCGCTGCTTTTCATACTGCATCTGACCCACCTTGATTTTCATGCTAGAAAGTTTGGCCATTAAAGACTGGTAGAGAGACAAAGGAGTGAAAGAAAACTAGATAGAAAAAGACAAGCTAAGTAACCAAGAAAATAGCATCAATTTTCAAGAAGGTTAGATAACTCCAGAGAAATAGCAGGTTACATTCCAGCAGATTAGATAATTTTTTTTTTTTTAAATAGTGTGTAAGTTCAAGAACGTTGGCAGCTTGGGGTAAAACTTAACTCACTTGTAAAATAACTTCATTATCATATAGTAGAAATATATTTTATTTCTATTATTGATCATAGATGGATACTGGAGCCATTTGTTTAAAAAGTTCCTTTGTTTTTTTCTTAAGTCAGTGAGAAACTTACTTTGGTTGATTTAAGCTTTTTTTCATACTGAAGTCTATCACTGTCCATTTCACCAATTTTTAATCTCAAATCATTGATCTCCTGTATTAGCCCCTGTCCAAAAAGAAATAACAAAATGAATCAGGAAAGCAGAAATACAGTTACCTGTATTAACAGAGTTGCTTGGAATTTTAAGAAATCAACAGCTCCTAAAGTTAAAGTTGTGTCAATCAGATCAGACAAATGGAAATACAGTAAATGTATGGTTTAAGAACTAAACAATTTTTCCATTTAAAACACTTCTCTAAATTCCTAGTATCTCTGTGCCAAAGTGATGTATTTATGAAAACAAAATGTGACTATAACTTTAATTAAGAAATAGTATTAACCATCCTTGTCAAATGAGTCCTTAGTGATCTTCCTGCATCTGATCTTTTCAATATATATTTTCCTACCTTTTCATTGTTAAAGCTTTAATTTCAATCTGGTGCTGTACTTTAGTGGCAATTGCAAAGGATAGTAAATAATGAAAACATAGTAGTTTTTTCTGTTACAAAATGGACTCTATCCCTAACCCCTCATACTGGGGACTGGACTCAGGGCCTTCACAATGAACTGCATCCCTAGTTCTTTTTAAAATTTTTATTTATTTATTTATTTATTTAGAGACAGGATCTCTGAATCATTATGTTGCTTGGGCTGACTTGAAATTCTAATCCTCTTGCCTCTAATCCCAGCCTCTCAGAGTGCTGGGATTACAGATGTGTGCTTGCAATCTGGCTTGGGATAGCTTCTTAGTGTATCACTTTACAGACCAGCACCCCTTCCTACTGGTTTAGCATCCAATTATCTTTGGTGATAATACTTTAAATATGAATCTAAATTTTTCACCTGGAAGAAGTCATATCTTTCCAGATAACTCTTAAAAATGGAATATGAGTTATTTCAGGTAACTTTTTCAGAATTCAGCCCTGAAGAAAATCTGTTACCTTTCTTTTTTCCTTTTCGGAGAAGTCTACACTCTCACCAGCAGAAGGCACTGTTGAATGACTCTAACCATTCCTCATTAGCAATTTCCACAGTCAAATCCTGAACCTTTTCAGACTTAAAGAATGTAATATACAACCTTTCAGAAATAACTGTACTTTACCCCCACTTCAATATTTTCTTAGAAATTAATATTCAAATACTTTAAAGTTCTAAGACAAAGTTACACGATTTGAAACAGCTAGGTAAATACTTTATCCCTATTAAGGGAACCATAAAAGGAATGTAAGCATATTAAATTTTAATTTTGAGGACTATTTTAACTATTTTCATATATAACATTACAAAATTTATCAAATCCTATAATCTGTTGGTATGTGCATACTATATTTTACCAATAGTATTGAATATCTATTAGAAAATTATCAGGGACTGAGTTTCCTGAAGTATAATGACAAGCTCACTTTGCACATGAGTAAGAATGCATGAGTGAAGGAAGCCATGAGGGAGAAAATCTGAGGAAGGCAGACAAACTCAAGAGACATAAACGCTGTTCTAGAATCTTACAAAAAACTATAAAAATGTACTGCAATTTAGTGCCAATGTTTAGTCAACATCTTGTACCCAAATTAAAGGAACAAGAGTCATCTAGATCAAGATTTCCCTACACTTCACACACAGAAAGCAACGAATGGCACAGAAGGCCACCTCTTCATCCATGTATCCTTCCCATTACATAACTTTTTCCCATTACAAAAGTAGTTCCACTTATAGTCTTTCCAACCTGCTGATTGAGCTCTACTATGTTAGGCAGTGATTACGAGATGAGGGAATGACAGAGAAAATCTAGCTAAGTTTCAAAGAAAGCACAAAATTAAGAATATTAAAGAAATCAAATAACTTTCTAAGTCCTGTTTTAAGAGCTGCAGTTTCAACTGAGAAACATGCTCATGCTCATGTAGGTATTCTGACAAAGAGCTTTAAGATTCAATCACAAATGGAATGAAGTTACAGGTTTCCGTTTGCTGTTGAGGAAGCAGGAGATACAGTCAAGACTTTTCTTCAGAGTTCAGCTTGGATAGGAAATATAATTTTTAAAATAGTAATAGAGTAATTTTCATAACCTAAAATTGGACTTTCACATAATGGGCAATAAATGGGATCATGACGGCATATGGTTGATGTAAATTTAACAATCTGACAAGCTGAGGAGAAATGTAAGTAAATGATTACCTTCTGTCTCTCCTTACTACCTATGTTCTGACACATTATGATACTTCCTCATATTGTTAATCAAGAAAACAAAAGAGGGAAAAAAATAATGATCCTGAGAGAAAAAATTTCTATAGCTTTACATTTAATTTCACTTACTCTGTTAAGTTGGAGGTCAAACTCAGTGCCCTATACATGCTAGGTAAGCACTCTACTACTGTGTTACACCCAAGCCCTACATTTCATTTTAAATGAATGGATATCAAATGAACAGGCTTTTTGCTCCTACCAACAAAGCATTAACTAGAAGATCTAGATTAACAATAAAACAGCAGAGCAGGTATGGGGGTGTACTCCTGCAATCCTGCAACTCTGGGAGGATGAGGCAGAAAGAATACAAGTCTGAGGCAAGCACTAGCAGCTTAGCATGACCCAATCTCAAAACAAAATAAAAAGGCCTGAGGATATCGCTCAATGTAAAGATCTTGGGTTCAATTCCTAGTACTTTAAAACAAAAAGTTTGTTTAGCTCCAGGTACTTCAGGTTGTAGAATCTGCCCTGAATTCATAAAAGTATAGTGAGTTTTACTTAACTGAAATGATTTATATTTTGAATAGACCAAATGTAGAAGGTCAAATTATATGACTTCTGGACAGCTTTATGATTGTATAAAGTAAGTACATCTCTGTATAATATAAGATATCCTCTTATTTTTTGTAAATAATCAGTGTACTTAAATAAGGACTTCCAGTAAAATCAAACATGTAAAAACATTATTTGCAACATAGGAAAAGAGGGTCAGATGGATAGGTGTTAAAAATATTACAAAGTTGAACACACTATATTTCCACAGATAATAAAGATTTTTGACTTGATAACAAAAACTTCCATTAACGTGTAGGGATTGAACCCAGGACCTTATGTACACTATTCTCTATCACAACCCCTAAAATTTAATAAAGCAGGATGAGGGCATGTAGCAACTAACCAACCCCTTTCACATCTGTTGGGATTTCAGCGTTATTGTACGGGCATGTACGCGAGGGAGAAAGACAGAAAGAGAAGGGATAACTTACCTCTGTGTCTCTGAACCTATCTTCATAATCCAGTCTGTCTTTCTCTACAGCTGTCAATTTTAACTTCAAGTTAGATATTTCAGCCATCAGATCCAACTTCTGGGTTTCTAAGGATGTCCTACTCAGAAGTTCCTATTAGAATTTAAAAGATATGTTTAAAAATTGTTTTGCTATAAATGGTCACATGTGAATTTGTGTCACTGATGATTGCAAAGCAGTAATGATCAAGCATAGGATGTGGTGAAGAATAATTACTAAATACTTCTACTTTCCTTTGAGTGGAACTAAATATGTATCAGCTTATTAAGGGAGACATATAAGAAATACATACATAAACTGTGTCTATTTTTTCCTCCCTAGTGCTGGGGATGAAAGCCAGGGTTTCATATCTGCAAGGCACACACTTTACCACTGAACTCTCCCAGCACCCTAACCATACAATGGTGATACTTAAATCAGACAGTAACACTGATGATGACGATAACACTATGCTTGCTATGCGCTGTGGACTTACATGATGTACATTAATAGCCCAATCCCCAAAAAACCTTACAATGCAATAACTTTTATCACCCTTACTCATCAGATAAAGAAGCTGAGGATCAGAGAGGTTAAGAACTTGTCAAAAGTCATATAGCAAAGAAATGACAATAGGAATTCAAACCTAAGCAGTGTTGCTCTCATGTGTACTCTGCCTGCATTTAGATACAAGCAGCAGAAGCAGAAGGGCCTCTCAAAAACAAGCACTCTGTGCACGTGTAAAAACAAAGGTCATGTGATGTTTATCCTTTTTTCATAATCATAAAATATATTCACATTGTAAGAGTCAGGAAAACAAATGCAAAAAGAAGAAAATCAGGAATCTTAATAACATTTTATTTTATTCAAATTAACTAAACAATTTGTATTATGTCTGTATGTTTTGCGATCCTATTGTTTTAGATTTCTGCTTAAAATGTGCCAGGCTAGGTGAATCTAGAAATTTCCTGCTAAGCCACAGTAAAATAGCTTCTCAAATAACATAGTTCAACAGGAACTCTCCTCTTCCCCATAAACTTTGGTTTGCTGCTATACATACCTGCTGCAGCATTTCTTCTGTGGCATTCAACTTCTCTCTGTGCTCCTCAAGACAGAACTCCAAATCTCGAATCTTCTCTCCTTGAGCCTCTACCTGGTCTGTTAACACACTTACCTGTATTTAGAGCAAAATACTCTAAAGAGTTATAAAGAATTTGGGTCTAACTGTACATTTTATTTTTCTAAATGGAACAAAAGCTAGAATGATCTTACCACTTGTAAGATGGTAAAGAAAAAGTGGGGTAATTATGATAGTGGTCTTTCACTTTCCTACTTACACATTATTTTTTATTGATGCATTCTAATTTCATGTAGGAGAGAGCTACTTACTGGTGATTGGGGATATACAATATTTTATAAACTAAAATTATCTCAATCATTTATAAGAGAGAAAATATAAGTTATATTTTGGGGAGGTATAGGAGAAAGTATTATAGAAATTAAAACAAAACATGAAACAGACATAATCAAGGACTATTCAAATCTGATACTTCAAGAAGAGTAAAGAACCCAGGAAATTCACATTACATGAGATCTGTCAATATTACACTGATCAGAAATGTGTTAAAGCCAGCGTGCAAGGCTGATGTTGTAGCAGAGTCCATGCTTAGCATGCATTAGGCCTGGTTAATCTTAACACCCTGCCCCCCAGAAAAAAAACCTGCCAGGGTATAAAATGACAGACTAAAAGGTCCATCAAAAACTACTGGGTTAGTCCTTCCTTCTCGGTGCAAATTTCTTCCTTCTTATTGCAAATTTCAAGTTTCTGCTCAATGATCACGGTCCTAATAGATATACCTCAATTCATGAGGCTCAAAATATCAAAGAAAAAAAGATTTGTCTAGCATTTAAAACATGACAAAGCAAACAAATTTAGTCTACATGCAAGACTCCACTGCTGTATTTTGTTTAGCCTGTGATATCATCTAAAAACTGAAAAATTAAATACACTTTCAGATTCAGAAATATAAAATGCTGTTATAGTACAGATATTGATATATTAAGTTATAGTTAAGAACTGGGTTAGACCAAATGCATGTTCTCAAACTGGCCCTTGGATTCTGAGGCCAAGCACTGCTCCCTCTCTAGTCTAGATGGCCACTCCTACTCTGTCTGAGTCTTCATCACTCCCTGCTGTGCACAGGGGGCCTACACATTTACTTCCCTTAGAAGTCTGTTCATTTTAAGTATCTCAATTTACCACCGCAGTCTAATATATTCTTTGTAAGTATGTGTTCCCTTGGTATCTGTGTGGTATTAATTCCAGGATCTTCACATATACCAAGATCTGCAGATGATATAGTATTTTCATATAACCTACACAGACTTTGTCATATACTTTAAATTATTTCTAAATTAGTAAAATGTATAGTTACTACATACTGTAATTTTTTAGGGAATAATCATAGAAAAAAAGAGCTTTCTAGGTATGGTGGTGCTTGTCGGTAATCTCAGCACTTGGGAGGTTGAGGCAGGAGGTTCGTAGCAAGTTCGAGACCAGCTGGGCTACAAAGTGAGCTCAAGGCCAGCTTGAACTGCATAATGGACTCTGTCTCTGTCTCTGTCCCTGTCCCTGTCTCTGTCTCTGTCTGTCTGTCTGTCTGTCTGTCTCTCTCTCTCTCTCTCACACACACACACACACACACACACACACACACACACACACACACACAAAGAGCTTGAACATGTTTAATACAAACACAATTTTTCCATATATTAGGAGGGCCACCAGTATATTGTGAGAAAAGAGGGACATTTCAAAATCACTTGCCTGAAGAACGAGGGACTCTTTATCATTTTCTAAGCGGGCCAGTCTTTCTTGATACACATCTCCATTTCCAGGTAGGTGTCCATTTGTCTGAAAAAGGAAATAATATAGGCAAGGTCAACTCTCATATCTTTAATCCAGAGCCTGAATTACATTAAGCATAGCTATCACTATCATTAATGGAAAATATGAAAATCGATTCACTTCAAAATAGGCACACTGGAGTCAAAATAATGACTTTAAAGAACAGCAGTTACTGACTTTTTTAGTAAGCACACACACAAACAGACATGTTAATATTTCGTGAGTGTGTAGTAGGGTGCAGTATCTACTTTCTCTGAATGCTCAGTGTCACCAGTCATGGGTATGGACTCCGGTTATGACCTGTGATTCCCTGCCATTCCCATCAACTCCACCCTCCAGTGCCACATCTGGGATTGCAAATCCTGCATTTAGGTGGGAGACAGCAGCAGCAGAAACTACTTACATTACAACCTTCCTCCTGCTCACTCAGGTCTCCCACTCACAGGGTAATATTCCCTTCTCTGAAGTCTTGGGCCTTGAGAACCTTCCTTACACTTCAATACTCAGCCTTTAGTGACTTTGCCTAGCAGCACTGACCTCTTATGTTTATTAGCGTTTTATTACTTTCTGTACTGAACTAATTAACTTCTAGTAAGTTCACTTGTTCATATAAAGTTGTTCAGCTTCCGGCAGAGCTTGAAAACTGGTATCACTTCCTAACTCCACAGTAGCTGGCTCACTGGGCTGTTCTTTTTATCTCTTTCCTTCCCTCCTTACTTACTTGCTCATTTATTTGTACTAGAGTTAAAACTGAGGGATATTCTACAATATCCCCAACATTTTTATTTTTTATTTTGAGACAGGATATAGTTATGCTGCCCAGGATTGCCTCAAACTTTCAGTCTCCTGCTTCAGTATCCTAAGCAGCTGGAATTATATGTGTGCACTGATTTTTTTTTTTTTTTTTTTTTTTGGTAGTAGGAATTGAATTCATGACATTGTACTTACCAGGCAGGTGCTTACCACCACTGAGCTAAATCCTCAGCTACTTGTACTGACCTTTTTTTTTTTTAAAAAAAAAAACACACTTGGGTATATATACACATGGTATAACTGCCAAAAGAAATAGTATAGACTGAGAAAAAAAGTAAGGATTCTTTTCTCAGTTGTCTTACAAGCAAGTCATGAAAGAGACATTTGAATGGGTTCACTGAAAGGTTTTTTTTTTTTTTTTGGTCTTTTTTGTTTTTATCGGTACCAGGGATCGAACTCACCACTGCCTCCTTGCAAGGCAGGAGCTTATGCCGCTGAGCTAAATCCCCAGCCCCTCACTGAAAGGTTTTTGCCCCAGATGGGACACTGTAGCAGGTAAAGCTGGGAGGCAGAACCAAGGGGCTCTATCTTGAGGTCACCTTTCCCTGCCCCTAGGCAATTTACCTGTGGCTTGAAAATGAATACCAATGAGCTACCTGTGCATCACTAATGCCTCTTAGGCACCACCCCCAACCTAAGCTACATGTATGCCCCCACACCACATGTCTGACAGAGAGAATGCCAGACCCGGGAGAGTCAGGGGGTCTTTCCCCACATTCTTAAAATAAAGGTCACTTTTATTTCATATTTATTATCTTTTCAGCAGCGTCAAAATCCTATCAGATGGTTCCCTTCCATGCCAAAAATTCTATCATTCACAAAAAGCAGAAAAGATTAAAATGCCACTTTGAAATAACAGTATATGGGATGTATCTTGAATCCTGTTAAATAATGCATAGCCACATAATATGCACTCCCCATAAGATTTCCTGATTCCTCATTCAAATACAACAGAAAATAAATATAAACAAACAAACAAAGCTAAACTAGTTGGGATCCAAAATGGATAGGTAAGGTGTGTTCTACTGAGAAAGTAGTAACATATAGATTTATAGCATTTAGATTTTAGAGCAGAAAAAATACAAACAGTACATCCTCGTGGCCAGAGACATATCTGATTTAACATCTACTATTTTTCCAAAATTGACTAGTATTACTGTTTTACCTGTTCAATTAACACAGTTTCTAATATTAGTTCTAGGAAAAACAAAAGTTGTATGTTTAAAGATAAAGGAAGAAAATAAATGAAGCCTTAACAACAAAAAAAAGAAACATTTCGATATTCCCTTCTTAAAAGTTTAGGGGTGTACTAGATTACATTTCTCAAGAGGCTACAAAAGCATCAGAAGTTAATTTAGTTGAATGTACAATGTGTATTGGATAAAATTTTAACATCAGCTGCTGTACAATCACCACAGTGTAATTCTATTCATGTTGTTAACTCAAGTGCCCAAAATTAAATTATTATTTTGGTACCAGGAATCAAACTCAGAACCCTATGCCTGCGGTCAGGCGTTGTGCCACCTAGCTATATCCCCAGCTTCTAGAATCAAATTATAAGAATTAAATTCTAAGAGTCTGATAGAGTAGTTTTAAATGACTTCCATCCCTGGAGAGTATCATGAAATGTAATTTAAGTAACTTCTGGAGAACAGTTTTTTGGAAAACAACCAGGATATATAATACATGTTTTCAGTCTAAGAGAGTGCTAAGATGGGAATTGTAGAGTTTTAAATTCTTCATTTTATTACGAACATTAACAGGAATCTGATTTTAAAGTCCCACCCAAGCATCTTCTAAGCATGCATTTCATTACGGCGGGGAAAGGTGACCTCAGGATAGAGCCCCTTGGTTCCGCCTCCCAGCTTTACCTGCTACAGACAAGTTTTAAGAGACAAGATGTTGCTGTGCTGCCCAGAGTGGCCCTGACTGCTGGGCTCAAGTGGTCCTCTCACCTCAACCTCCTAAGAAGCTGGGACTACAGGAATGCACCACAGTGCCTGACCAAAATTTTTCTCTTCCTTTCATCTTTTTCCTCTCTCTCTCCTTCCTGAGATGTTGGGACTGAACCCAGGGCCTGCCACATGCAAGAATGTGTTCCCCACTGAGCTACATCCCCAGTCCTTTTTTCCTGACCCTTCTTGCTTCTTGAAAAGACTTTTACTTCTGCTTTCTTTACAATCTGTTCCACAGTCCATAGTTTATCCTTGGACTACTCGCTCCTTAGTCCTGTTTAGGAGGTGGTCTCAGAGCCTTTTTAATGGAAAATACTTAAGACTACCTCATGTAAATTCCTTATGAACTTTCTTCTTCACAGTAAAATATTATATACGGCCTCTTTCACCTTCATCTTTCCTTCCTTTCTCCCTGCCAGTCTCACAAAGTGCTACTTTCTGTACTAAGAGCTCATCATTTCATCTCTACTTTGTAATCTTGATTTCCTGTTTCTTTTAGACCTATAGTTATCATGTCTACTTATTTTCAATTTCTTGTTTAATAATAAATTTTCATCAATTCCTTCCCATCAGCTACACAAAGGTCTACCACTACATCTTTCTCCTAGCCTACTCTGCCTATTAATTCTATCTTACACAAGTAACTCTCATGTCCTCCTCATACCATCCCATACTCATCTTGCCCTCTGTGGCTTCCTTCTGTGTTTTTATTTCAGTTTAGTTTTTCATTGTACTTTGCCACTGATAGTTGAAGAGCAGTTTTGTGTAAATTAGTACTTCCTAATGGTTTCTCTTAGTACAAAACCCTCTTACATTTCTTGTAATTCTTTCACAATATTTTATAAAATCCTGAGCACATTAATTTAAAATGTGTCTGCAATAAACTCTTGAGTCCAAAGCACTAAGGATCAGCCTCAATTGTTTTACTTAAAACTACAAAAAATATCTTCAGAATCACCCTTTATATTTTAGCAAGCTGCAACTCCATTTGACTCATTCAGTCAAAATCAAAGTCAAAAACTGGAATCACCTTGGAAGACTTCAACAGTACAGCATTCAACTAACTGAATACATAAGATTAGGGTGGGAAACACACCTCAGTAACACCACTGATATCTTGACTTGATTAATGAACTTACAGTGTTTGTGAGGTTTTTCTGGCATAATGGGGAGAGCTTTATTCTTTGTAAGTATATAGAACTAGGAAAATCACCTGAGAATATAAATTTCCTAAATTCACATAGCAGGGGTTATATATAACACTGGAGCACTGTCTACGTTACCCTCCATCATCTAAGTGATGTCTTTTTACATCAATTTTCTTTTAATTATCAAGTATTATAAACACAGGACTATAAAGATGTAATGACTGTTACCATCCTGCCACTGAAAAGTCCACCTTAAATTTTATTACAGCACGTGAAATTAGAGACTGGCTTGATGAAACTACATATACCTGCTGCTTTACTTTATTAGTTATTAATACATTGTAAGTAGGAGTCTGTATCTGTTATTTTTACTAAAATCATTGTTTTCATTTGATATTTTGGGTTCTATTTGCTTCTAGTACTCTACAGCTGTCTTCTTTGTTCTCCTACTTTCATTTTGCTTTGTTTTCCCAAGTTCTGTTTTCCAACCTAAATTCAAAAAAAATCAACACATAAAAAGTGATTTGCAACAATTGTATATATTTATAACACAGCAAGTCATTTGGAATGTACATACCCAAATCAGGATGATATCTGAATTAGCATTAGAAAAAGAAAATTGGGTTCTTTCATAATGACACATGGTAAGAAACAGACTATTACTATACATACACACACACACATACATTTCACCCACTTGATTGACTTACTGAATGACTGATTGATTGACTAATTACCATGCTGGAGACTGAACCCGAAGCCTAAGCCACAGTCCTAGCCTTTTCTTTATTTTTTATTTTTATTTTTTTAGATTTCTAAAAAGTTCATTTTTAAAACTTTTTTATTTTAAAAAGAATAAAACAAAGCAGAACAGAACAAAGCAAAATGGAACAGAACAATGCAAGCAACCCACCCTTCACAAGACAACAGGACATCAACAGTAGCCACCATAATGTCTTTTTCTTCGACATAGTTGAGCATATCTTCACACACAGTAATATCAAACATAACAAAATAGTATAAAGCCATTCAAAAGAATGAAAGCATTACAGGACTTCAAAACCAAATAACAGGAAACAAACAATGGCTA